TCGAGACGACACGCAATTTCACAGAACGATACACCCTCAATGTGCATACTCACAAACATTCCTCGCTTAAGTAACGCGATCGCCCATCCATTACGCACAGAGTACGATAACGATGTGGTCCCTCACACCACACTAAAAACGACCGGTATTTTCCATCCACTTCGGTCTGCATAGCGAGGGAATGTTCCACTTAGAAGGGCGGCTCAGCCAACAATGCCGCGACGGAACAACTCGAAACCCCGTGAACAAACTCATCTACAGTAAACCTTTGTGCTCCGCAAATATTATCTATGGATGTGAATTATTTCCAACAGTGTATGTACTTATGGATTCACACAAAGGCAAGGAACAAATTAGTTTAGAATTAATAGCTAATAAATTAGTTATTATTTCTAATAATTTTTAGTCAGAAATGCCGTTTATTTACAAATATTTATTAAGAAAAGTGAAAAGTTATAATACAAATCATTTTAAGTAATTATCTTTTTCTTCCTCAAAACAACAGGAACACTTGTACTTGGTAAATAACCTAATTCAGTTACCACTCCAGTCACAAATTCCGGCGGAGTTATATCATAAACCAAGGTGAGCGGTTTCAAAAACTTTTTTTGTTTCCAATTTTTCAAAACGCACTGATTATCATCGTTTGGACATTCTGTATTTATCACTTTATTCGGATCATCTACATAAAAAATAATTAAGTACCTAATAATTCCATTAAATTAATTTACCTATTTCATTGTAAACAAAACAATCCATTTGAACTTTCTCCGAAAATTTATAAGTTTCGCAACAAACCAAAATCGGTATACGAAATTTATGCGCAACTAACGCCACTTGCGAAGTTCCAGCCCGAGAAAATACCGCCCCATTTGCCAAAAGAGCGTGCGCTCCAAAAAGCACTTTCGTAGCTCTACGCATTATATGACTAACAATATGAATTAACTCGTAAGTGCAATCAATACCATGACACACTAAACGTCGCAACATTTCGCGACCTTCCAGCAAAGGTTTTGCATCCAAAACTATCACGTGAAATCGCTTTCCGGCATCATGAGCATCACATAAAATTGTTCGAATTAATGAAGAACTAAAAATTCATTTCCAAACAAATTAATTCTTTTGGTATAAATCAAAAATCATCATCTCGCTTAAAAATCGACATTTTTTTGTTAATCGACGGGAAATCACTCAATTAGGCCGTTACAAATAAAAAAAAGTGCGCAAGAGTGTAAACCCGAAAAGTCAATCTTTAAAGTTTTAACGTTACGTCATTTTTTGTGGTTGGGTTAAATTCGATACTTTCTAATTCTAGTTTTACACTAACAGTATCACTAGAACTTACACAAGATCCAGAACTAGAATCATTCGGGTTTAGCCGTCTTGAGAGATGTGCGGCTACACCCGAATGATTCTAGTTCTAGGTTTTGTGTTAGTTCTAGTGGTACTGGTAGGTAGCGGTTGTTAGCACAAGATATTACTATGTTGTATATTTTTATTGAACTAAAACTAGAACTAGCACTAGACCTAGAACTAGAAAGTATCGGTTGTTTCTAGTTCTCGGTCTAATATTAGTTTTAGTGATAGTGGTAGGTAGCGCTAGTTAGCATAAGATATCACTATGTTGCATGTTTTTATTGCACTAAAACTAGAACTAACACTAGACCGAAACATTCTGGTTTAGCCTTGAGTCACAAATCGTGAGGTCGCATCGAAACTTTAATGTGATTTTTCGGTATGCTCTACACTTTTCCGCACTTTCTTTTTATTTTTAACGTGTTTTTCGTGTCATTTCACATTGATTAAAAAAAATCGTCGATTTTTAAGCCACATGATGATTCTTGAATTTTTCCATTCTTTTCCAAACGTTTAACCCATTTAGGACCACAGTTGCGTTAACGCAACGTTCACAACATGATTTTTTTTGTAATATTTAAAAGCATTGATTTTTGATCAGAAAAATACTATTCGTTTAAGAAGAATTTTAGCACACCTATGCAGTTTTTTGACATAGATAATTCAACAATTAACTGTAAACATAAATTAACAAAAATTGTAAAATTTTTAATATGGTAATATGAATTTAAAAACATTGTAAAAAGGAACTCTTATTATAATTTATTTTTAATCCTAAATGATTTTCATATGCATCATACTTCACAGAACAAGAATGTGTATGAATAGCTAACTATTTTTTTGTAATTCGCTACGGTAATGGAAGCTACAACAGTACTCAAACGGGTGCTGTAATGAGACTCCTTACAGCATCCGATGCTGTAATGAGATTTTAGTAACATTTTATGGAACCAGTTCAAGTTGGTGACATTGGGTCATTAATTTTTCTAGTTGTCAATGTGACAATTTTTGTCTATGGATGTTTAAACACGTTCTTAGCATCGAATACAAAGTCCACAATGATGAGGACATTGACTCTGAGCAATTTCTCTTAGTTTGGGAGGTGTACATCAAACATTTTTTTCAGGTGAATATATATTGTGTTTTGACAGTTTCCAATTGTCAATTCAAAGTTTCTATTTTCAAGTGTTCCGGTGTTACCAACTGCTACATACCTATTTCCCTACATTGCCAAAATTTACTTTATTTTGGTTAAAAAAAAGTATAAAAACGCGAATTACAAAAAATAGCATAAAAAACACGTTTCATAAGACTTAAAGCACTCATTCATTAAACTTGAATTCGTGCATTTCAAGCGTGTCTTACGAAACTTGTTTTTTAATATACTATTATCTTTCTGTACTTTTTATTAAAACGGATTTAATGTCATCAATTCTACCGGTTTCGGTCCTTTTATAAGACCATCTTCAGGATCTTTCGAATTTCCTATTACAAAAAACAACTATTATACTTAAAGATGTTAAAAATGTTAAAAATCTTTTCGATTAAATATTAAGTTCTAAAACACTTACGTCAATTTAATTTTAAAGTTCTCGTGACAATTTGCATTTTGAAAACTCTATAAAGCGCCTTATTGAAAACTGTCTATGTTAATGTTATTAGTAGAATTGCGTATCGAGTCCAAACCAACGAACAAAATGAAACTGTGTGTGCACGTGTTTGTTAACTTTATAGGTTAGAGAATCAGTTTTGAAATTGCCTATATTGTATGTTTTAAAATTTAAAATTAGATTATCTTAAAAGAAAAATTAAAAAGTGGATAATTTTTGGATAGATTTTATTGGGTTTTGTAGGAAATGGGTAGGAATGTATAGGGATGATAGGAGATTTCGGTACAGAAAAAAGTACAGAAAGATAAAAGTGTTTTACTTGATTCAAAATAAAAATAAAATGGAAAGAAATAATGATTGCAGCAGAAACAATATAATGACAAACCAATTTCTCAGATGGATTTTAGATTAGAACTTATAATAATAATAATATTTCTATTGTGTATAAACATATAGTATTACACTCGTACAGAACGTGACAATCAATATCAAAATCGCACACTACTATTAAATAAAATCTTTCTCAGTGAGAAATTCGGTCAAATACTCGGTGCACGAGTACCTCCCCATGGAATTAATGCATATGACATTAGAGACTGGCACAGGGAAAAGTACGCGATCTAACTTTTGTAACAGTAAATCATGTTGTACGCAGTGAAACGCCTTGCTAAGATCGCAAAAAACGGCAGTCATATAGTCTCCATTTTCAAAACAGGACAGAGCCATTTCCACAAAATTTAATATGGCGTCACTAGTGCCCACGCCCTGCCTAAATCCAAATTGTGAAGTTGTGAATAAGTTGTTCTCCTCAAAATATTTAGCGATTTGGATATTTAAAACACTTTCAAAGATCTTCGAGAGTATCGGTAGAAAATTCTGAATAAGCTCAGGATCGCCTTTTTTATAAGGCTTCCTATTATATAGGAACTATTATTAGTGTCAACAACAGTTAAGATATACCAGAGGACGTGATTCCACAATTTTTGTACCTTCAACCTCCAGATTGAATAATGTGTTACACATAATTCAAAAAACAATGTAAAGTGAAGGCGACGCTGCAGGGTATGTTAGAGCACGATAGTACACTGCTCAAACAAATTAGGGGAACACTTTTTTCGAAATCTGTAACTTTTTAAATTATAGTTCTAGGCAAATCAAATTTGGTTTACTTCAACGGCATATACAGGTGTCTCAGCGAGACCGGTCATTAGACGTTTCTGGGGTTCTGGCGAAAATAAAAATTTGAGAATTCAGACTTAAGTATTACCAATAAAGATCTCTTCGTCTAAAATATTTTCAGATTTCTTACACTTCCGGTTATACCGGAAGTCGCCACCAACTTTATTTTTTTAAATGGAACACCCTATATATTTTTACATATTTGGATTTGTTTGTTTTCAAGGTTTATAAATAACTTTACTTTTTGCAATTTGATTCGGTCGTTCTCGAGTTATTCGAATTTTTCTAGAAAAATCTGCTCCAGCAGACATTTGTTCAAAAAATCAGAAAACACTCAATTTTTGGGATATCAATTTAGGATTGAGAACATGCTTAAGCAACATGATGGAGTATGTTTTGGTGCCGAGAACTGCGGTCTAGAACGTTTGGTCACTTTACTATGGCACGTTAACTTTTCAAAATTTGGAAGTACCATAACTTCATTTTTTTAAATGGCACCCCCCATATTTTATTTCTGTAACTTGATCCGATT